CTAAGTTACTTTCCTTCATTTATAAGCTAAATCTATGGGAACTGAAGAGAGCAGAAGCCCCATTTAGCATGCGCTCATAGGTGAGTTAGTGAGCATTTGTGACAGGTGAGATTTGTATAAATTGTACAATGTATAATGAATGTTGATAGTAATATAATGCATACGAGAATATGTGCACGTCAAGGAGATAAATCACAGGTTCTAACACATTACATGCAGTAAACGTGAACCTGCTCACACAAAAATGATCGTGATCCACACGCTGATCCTAAAAAGGTCTACAGTACGACTGGGAAAATGGGATCAACGATATTTGCACATTAATCACACACATCAGGCATTAACATGAATTATGCATTGATTTTTCACACAAAGTGTTTCAATGGTGTGACATCCTTGCAGTACCACATTTGAACAATGCAATTCTAAAGCATTTATGAAAATACTATAAAAGTTTTATGCAAATTTTAACAAAGAAATTAATTTAAAATTATTGAATTTGACAATTAATATTATTCCTTTTGAATAAATTTTTATCAAATTTAAGATCCATAAAAAATGAATGTCATAATAAATACAAAATAATTTTCGTTAATGGAGCTCCCACCTTTGCACTCCAAGGTCCTTGGTTCAGTCATGCATTTTATGATACTGTACAAATCCATTGCCTACTGCAAAGAATGAACAATATTTCAGACGCACTACTTTATCTGTCAGACCCATCAGATATCTATGTGACCAGACAGTAATGATATATTTGTTGCAATACTTTGTGTGACACATGTGAAAAGAATCTGATGTACTGAACTACTTTACCAAAGCTGTTCGAGTCTACACTGTTCCATACTCCTACAGTGTAGGATCACATTATACTTGCATGTTGTAGTTCACAAATTATTATTTTCTACTAACAGTATTGTTGCATATAGAATTTAGAAACCCTCCTTTGGGACAACCCTATTCAGGGCACACACTAATTAAGGTGACACTTTTTTGGTCGCAAATCAAGGGGGAAAATATCTTCAACACTACAGTCAACTCCTATTCTGGGGGGGCACTCCTAGTAAGGGGACACTTTTTTAGTTCTGAATAAATAGGTGTTCTACTGTACTGTAGTACAATACAAAATTCTAAAGGCAGCTAAATCATTAACAAAGAAAATAACCACACTAACGAATTCTTAACCACAATGTTAGATACCACCTCATTTAATTATCAGTGACAACAATTATCTCCATCACCATCAACATTTATTAAAGCTAAATAATTTAACACAAGTTTGCAGACATTGAATCGATGCTCAATTAATAATCTGCCTTGTGAATATCTGCAATACGTAGACAAGCGCATCCATATCACAAAGTTCCTGCAAACATCAGTTTCTAGCCAACTTCCGTAACCCCAGTAAACCCCCCACTAGATTTAATGATCTTATATACAGTAGGTACCAGATATGCTGTACCCGAAGGCCAATAAAAAAAAAGGCTGAAGCACACATAGGGGCTACTGGAAATCAGTGGAATAGACTAAGAATTGCACTGTTATGTAGGCCTACAGTATACAGTAAATTCACATTACTACATTATTACCAAATTATTATTAGCGAGCTTTTGAAATGGACGACGCGGGGAGATGCGATGGGGAATTCAGTTAACCATCGAACGTCGTACTATGCACTTCCCGTCTCAACATCAAAGCTGTTTCGATTTACAGGACGATGCGCTCCCTCGTATCGCGTGATCAATTATGCAGGCGCCCCAGCGAGCGCGTATTTATAAAACTCACGTTGCCGTAGTCAACACAACGCCAAATCGCTTAAAGCTTGTCGTCAAATCCACACAACAAATGTATTCTTAACACGGGCCGCAAAAAAAAAAACATTGTCGGGCCAGCCACATGTGGCTCGCGAGCTGCACTTTCCCCACCTGTGGTATATAGACAAAACTCCAATCTGAATTCATTCGTTTTCAAAACTGAAATAATTTTAGTGTTATTCTTAATTCCTCAATCTTATACAAATATTTCACAAACAGTAGTTAATATTAAGCTGTATGTTGCTAGACATTGGTTCTTTTTTTTATCTAATCTGAAAGGAATTATCCACCCATACTTAAATTTTCTTTAGGTCTGAGCATGGTTTGAGGGTTAAAGCATGTGAGAACTCAATTAAAAATGAAACTTAATAGTTTCTCAGGGTGATGATCAGGTATACTGGTGAAAGCTGCTTTGGAGGCTACAACAATGCTTGAGCTTCGCTTGTTCATGCCATAATATACCAAATACAATTCTATTAAAGGATTTTGTATTTGTCAATGTTTACAGTAGGTCTGGAACAATACCTGCCCACAATAGTCACAACTACATTTTCAGCTCAGCTGGCATGCAAATTACAGTTGTAACCTATTACTCATAACTTAACAAGAGCAAGATGGCAAAATGATGGGAATAATATAAATGGCTTTCTGTTGAGGTCACATCAATGCCATAAAAGATGTCACATAAGCCTACTACATCTTAGAAGGTCGGAAAAAATCTAAGTATCTTTCGTATTACACCGCCTGCGTTCATCTGTCATTGCCTCAACTTCTTGGTAAACACTCTACAACTTTCCACAAAGGCTTAGTTTCTGTACAGTAGATCTAGAGTTATTCTATTTACATCATTGAAAAAAAAATGACTATTTCTATTCTGACGTGCTGAATAAATAAACGTCTATTAGTCTAAATAACTCAAAATGAACCTAGTAACATTTAAATTGGACCAATTTTACAGTTTACTGTCTGTACATATGACAAGTTACTTTCATCATTATTACAGTAGACCTACTATTTCTGAGCAACACCACTTCATCATAATCTGTCTAGGGCATACCTTTTTATTGTTTCGCAGACTCACCACCTACCAATTTAAAATAATTTAAATTGTTCACTGCTAGTGCACATGTCACATTGAAATATCCAAAAATAAAATATCAAGGGCCTGTATTTCTCACTTATATAAATTTAAAGCATTATTACTCCCAGTACAACACTGTTTAATAGATTTTTTCTTTGTATCTTCTCCTTCGTCTACATTACATGCTTTGGGCAAAAACATTTTTTTTTTTCACCTGTTCCTGGTACCTAGAAAAAATAAGGTTTAAAAAAAGTCTTATCCTCCATTTATTACATTCATACCACAAAATGTGATCCAGACAAAATAAAAATATGAGTAGTGTTCACTTGTTAATTGGCATTCTAGTATGAACCCACTTTTTGTTACTGACTATTGTGTAAATGGACCTTTAGGTGGGTATGTTTTGTAAAATAACTAATTAAATGTGTGAACGAGTATCAATGAAATTAAGATTTACTTGATTTAATGGTTGAAGAATACTTAACACATTCTAATCAAATAATGCATCTGTAGGCCTATCATTCTTTAAGCAGTTGTGCAATAAAATTTGGACAGAAGTAAGTTCCTTTGATGTTGCCTGCAGTTACCTTCAGACCACAATAAAAAAAACTACCATTATTCTTCCAATTTAGCAATACTGTACAATTTGGGAGGATGCTCCCTTTGATGTTACCTCCAATTATCTTCAGGTCACAATAAAAAATACAAATTTTATTATTTCAGTTGTTAAGCAATAAAACTTGGTAGGATGTAAGGTTGCTTTGATGTCGCCTTCAATTAATTAACCAGGTAAAAATTTTAAAAAAGTATGATCTATTGTCTCCTAATTTTCCATACTTTGTTTTTTACAATATAAGGTAAGATATAATTCATTACCTGTTCAGTATTTTTATCTTTCAAGTAATTCTTACTTGTAAGGATTTCAAATTTAATTCAGTGGCTTGAAACCTAACCACTTAATCCATACTTTATCCAAACCCAAAATGTCTATTTTAAATACAATCATTAAATTTTATAATTTTATACCAAAAGATTTACATTAATGATATTGGTTTCTTTCAAAATTGCTACACAGTACCTGTACAAGATTTTTATAAGTCTCACTTGTGATCTAAAATTCAGGCCTGGAAAAAAAATGTTATGTCTCTGACCATGAAAATTGTCTCAATAAAATGTCTCCAGCACTAAAGGTTTATTTTATTTTTTCCTCCAAAAATGCCTCCGAGATCATTTGGTGGGCGCCAGTAGCACGGTCGTGCACTTTTTCCAGCCTTGCTAAAATTAATTAAGAACATTCTGCAACTTTACAAGTTACGTTATGCCCCTATTATTATATATAATAAGACACTGTGTGCATCTAAGAATCACACAATTTACTGTCAGTAACATTTAAAGAAATATTTTAATAACCATACTCCATTGGTGCACAAAAATGCACAGAAAATTGTACTTTTCATTGAGTTTAGAAATTATTTTCACCACATATTTATCTTTGCTTTACCTTCTTTATATTTTATTCAGTTATTAGAATATTCTATGGTATATTAATATATATTGAATTTTTATGTGTTTATAACAAGTTTCCACAACACCAATAAAAAGTGAATTAAAAAATATCAGTACACAAATTTATGTCCATCATTTCCATGGATAATTATCTAATTATTATTTATAAACACAATATACATTCATAAAATCATAACAAAGTAGATTCACCCAAAAATAGCATGACCAACATCAGCCATTTTGTAAGTTTGGCGCAGCGGTTAGGGTTGTTTCTCAACCTAGAGTTCGGAGGTTTAATCCCTCGCTGTGTATTCCGCTTGTGTCCTTAGGCAAGGCAGTTTACCTACGGTTGTCCCTCTCCACCAGAGTACACATGGGTACCTGGAAGGCTCAAAACACAAAATGCGCTGATTATCGCTGCAACATTATGGAATTCTCCCCAGGGAGTATGTGTTCCATACTGTATGAGTGATTATGTGAAGCGCTTAGAGGCCTTGTTGGTATTAAGCACTATACAAGTCTAACATATTATATATTATATATATTATAGTAGTTTTTTTTATGTTAAACATGATAAAAACTTATTAATGGATACTAACCTGAAGCAAACATGTTCCATTAGCAATATCTTCATGAACACTGGCATTGTACGACGATGGAGTAAACTGCGGTTGATTATCATTCACATCACGTATAGTCACATGAACCATCGCACTTGATGACAATGACGGCGTTCCACCATCACTTGCAACTACCGTAAGATCCACGACGGAGGAAATTTCTCGGTCCACTTGAGAACTTGTAGTAATTAGTCCAGAGACAGGATTCACATGGAACCACGATGCTTGTGGGCCACTGGCTATGCTATAGGTGATCTGAGCATTGACGCCTGCATCAGCATCAGTTGCTCCGACTTGGGTGACAAATGTACCTGGGTCAGCCACCTCTTGAATTTGAGGGTAGTAGTCAGATTGGTCAAATTCAGGGGGATTGTCATTCACATCTAATATCTCTAAAATGAAATTTTTATGGGCGTTGAGCGGTGGACTACCGTAATCATTTGCAAAGATGGTTAAATTGTAGTATGGTGTCTGTTCACGGTCGAGAACACGCTTTATACAGACCAGATAGATTATGTTGTCACTTGTTTCAATGCCAAAATTACCATTACCACCGGTTAGAATCACACTAACATTGGTTAATTCAGCTTCATCCGGATCATTGACAGAAACACGGCCAATATAATCACCGGGTTCAGCATCCTCTGAAATTTTGGGGTTACCATCATTGCTAAAAAACAAGATCATGATTGTCGGTGCGCCCTCGTTAATATTTGTTACTGTAATAGTTACGAAGGCAGTGTTTTCCAGTGGATCAGGTGAGCTATCCTTAGCTACAACAATTATCTCATGAGTTTGCTGGACTTCATAATCAAGCGGCTTATTCAAGTACAAATCACCTGTTAAAGGATCAATTCGAAAGATTTCATTAGGATCGCTCTGCCTTCGATTGATCTCATAAAAAATCCGTCCATTTGGACCTTCATCAAGATCTGTCGCTGTGACAGCTAGGATCCGTGTGCCGACCGGAACGGTTTCATTCACAGTTGCTGAATAACTTGTCAATAAAAACATTGGTGCGTTATCGTTAACATCCTCCACATTGATGATAAGTGTAGTTGTGCCACTAAGAGACGGATTACCGCCATCATAAGCAGCGATAACCAGTGTGTACTGTGCCACTCGTTCTCGGTCTAATTCTGATAGAAGTTCCAGGTCCAAGAAAAGTGTGTCTTCACTTGGAAGAGATTTTGAGGACAAGTTAAAAGTCCCTTCTTCATTTCCTGATAATATTTCATATCTCTTTATGCCATACACGACGCTATCTGCATCCGTCGCATAATCAATATTTAGGCGAGTTAATGGAGTAGATTCAGAAATATTCATAACTGACGACGGATTTGGAAATATTGGCGGATTGTCGTTGATATCAATTATATCCACTTTTACTTGGATTACGTCATTAGACACTGAAAACACAATAAGTTCACAAGAAGCAACTGTCTCCCTGTCAAGTATTTCCTTTGTTTTTAATGTTCCATCCAATTTTTCAAAAGCAATATAGCTAGTACATTCAGATATATCAAAAGAGTTTTCATATGGTGGATTGCCTAAAACCCCTATGATAGTACCCGCCGGAAGTCCTTCTTCAACTTCAAAAGTAACATCCGCCTGACCATTAGTAGTTCTAGCAAATATTATTGCTATGAAACAAAAAACAATGGAAGACTTCCAATTAAAGGAAAGCTTAAATGGGTGATGACAACAAATTAATGAAGACATCTTGCTAATATTCGTTTTTCATTGAGTGCATGAAGATTTTCTGTTCTTCATCAAGAATATACCATTGTATTAGTTGGTTTCAAGTTGTCTGGCTGGTAAACAAAAACATCCAAATCAATTGCTTTGTCCACAACGAAATCGGTAAATAACATTCAAAAGCGGTATACACATTTAAGTGAAAGCTCAGAATTCCGCTAATACAAGCACATCAGATACTAGTTAATATTCCGTATAAGCTGTGTAATTGTAGGCCCTCCTGGGCTTAGCTGCAAACATTGTTTCGTAGCCTCAAATCGAAATATCAGCCACAGCCATCTCGACCTCACGGCGGTGATCGGGCAACACACTACTTACAGTACTTAACTATCGCGTCTTCCCTCGGTACGGTACTTGCTAAGTAAAAACTTTACCGTTACCATTCAAACAACATTATTTCTAAGTAAAAGTACTCATTGATGACACTTACAATGTTGATACATATTGGCCAGTTTGAGCATGGTCACTACCAGGTTACGTTACACATTGCTTCGCAAGCTTTATTACAACTGCTACAATACCTGCTCAAACTGAACCAAACACAGCTTGACAGTTGATTTGCATGACAGAGGCCAAAAAGCGGCCTATTCGAAAGAGTCACAGTGGTTAGGAGAATAATAGAATGATCAGCTTTAGTAATTACAGTCTGAGGGCGGTAACGTATTCTCACCACCAGGGGCGGATTGCTATAAGTGGTCAGTTTTCAGTTTCAGTTTTTATTGCCACACACTTTTACAACAGTGGCACACACTAATTAGTGGTGCGTTAAAACTTACTAATCAAATAACAATATAAGTGAACAAAAGTAAAATGGGAACACAAAAGTAAACAGAAAAATCAGGGAATTACAGTGTACAGTATAATTGTACTTAATACATACCGTATACATACACATACATATAAATATTGCATATAAATACACACATAAATATACATGCATACATATACAAACATACGTATAACTACACATACAAACATATATAAAAACTCACACACCACACACATACATATATATACATACACATACACACATACCTGCAC